TCGCAGGAGCAAAGGCAGGAAGCAAACAGGGAGAGGGAAAGGCTCCTGTAGAATATTATAAAAGGGAAGATGGGTATAAAGGAAAGGGGTGATGGTGGCGGGGGAGGGGGGGGGAGGTCACCCACCAGCCCACTCCGAGCAGCCCAGCTAAAGCCTGCACTTGCACACTTATTATTACCCGAACCACAACAACAACAACAACAACATCAGACTCCGGCTCTTTGGGATCCCGCAAAAAAAAAAAAAAAAAAAAAAAAAAAAAAGGCAGTGTTTGGGTGTTGTGGGATTGGCAGTTGTTTGGGGTTTTGTTTGCCACCGAAATCCCAAATCAAACGCAAAACAAAAATGAAGGGGCTTTTTAAGGCTATAAAAGTGCCATAAACTTTAAGGACGCTTCCTTCCACAGAAAGCCCGGCTCGCTCAGCCCCCAGAAGAAAAGGTCTCCTTCAGGGTAATTAAACTATAAAGCAATTTGCAAGTGCAAAAGTTTACCCCCATAAAGCAGTAAAATACAGTCACTGGGGAAGAAAAAGGGAGCGAAAGAAAGCAAGCAAGCAAGAGGGGCAGAAAGAAAGCAAGAGGGCTACTTTATGGGCTCAGGAAATGCCTCCTCGCTGTCCTTTCCATCTCGCCTCACCTTGCGGTCGCATCCAGGGGAAAAGCTGGGTCGGAGAAGGGCTCTGCTCCGAGCTCTCCGCCTCCTCTCCAAGGCCGCTGGCAGCAAGCTTGCAGTCCGTGTACTGCACCAAGTCCGACTCCTGGGCGCTGAAGAGGCTCTGCCTTTGCAAGGGGTCGTAGCCATAGAAGTTGCTGGGGTCCCCATGGCACGCCACGGCGCAGGGATTCTGTTGGTAAGGGGAGCTGGAGAGTGAGGATGCTCCGTGGTAGAACTCCTGGATTTGGGTCGGGTGCTGGAAGGTGCCCCCCGTGCTGGGTCCGTACACCACCGTGGGTCTGCCCCCAAGATCCTGAGCGAACCCACAGTCATAGTAATTGGGACGCAAGGAGTCCCCGGTTTTGTATTTGGAGAAGAGTGAGTTGACAAAATAAGAGCTCATTTTAATTTAAATAAGAATATTTGTTTGGAGGAGGAAGAAAAGGAAAAAAAAAAAAAAAAAAAAAAAAAAGAATCCAACCTAACCAAACCACGGGAATCTATTAGCAAAAAAAGAAAGCGCTAAGATGCTAAGCAACGACAGTTTGTGATTTCCAGGAATATAAAAGGAGGATATAATCAAAACTCTAAGCCTGCATGATATTGAATTCTTTCCTCCCCCCCACCCCTAAAAAAAAAAAAAAAATCGCCACTTAAAGAGTTCTCGCTTTACATTTCCAAGAAGAGATGCCAGTTCATAAACAGTTTTCAGTGATTTACTTCAGCGCAAATGAGTTGTTTCATATTTTGCAGTGTCTTTTCATGATCATTTGCATCTATTACCAAAACCTCATCCTATTGGCTTCTCCTTACTCCACACGGACTCTGCACTGCATGATTGTGAAAGGAAGAGTGTGAGAGAATAAAGAAGGAAAAGCAAGCGAGGGGGAGCGAGAGAGGGAGAGGGAGCGAGCGAGAGAGAGAGAGAGGGAGCGAGAGGGGAAGGGAGAAGGAGGTGGGGTGAATATACGGATTAAATATGTTTAACTACCTACATTAATGAGATATCGCTCGCCTCACAACAAATCACATACCTAGACCACCCAAAAGATTGATTTTTGGGGAGTGTTGGAAAATTAAAGAGAAGCGCTCGCAGTCGTTAATTTCAAAATTTTAACGAGGCAGTTTTAGCCTTTTTAAATGTCAGGGTCGCTTTGGAAAACTGTAAAAGAACACGATTTAATTGCTACCAGTTTTAAAAGGTCCTATAAATGTAATTGGTATTTTAATACAAGTTATCAAATCATACAGCTTCTTACCCTAAACATATTTTAAAACAAACGAGGTAGTCATATTTAACATTTTAATGATCAATTTCCTTATTATTGATAAAGGTTTAACTATCGCATGAAGGGAATTGCATTTGTAATAGCCCCAAAAAAGGCTGTAAACTGTTTAACAAACTATAAAACGCCATAAAGCCGGGGATGTTGTTGTTGTTTATACCGCACTACATAAAAGCCGTTAGGATTTTACGAGTTCGTTCCTCCACTGCTATAAACCAGAGGTTTCGATTGGACCCGTCCGCATTACAGCGAGATGTTGAGGTGTCAATATTGAATTAAAATGATTATAGTTTTTCATATATAACATTGACTTTTTGTGTCTCTCCCGCAGCCCCCGCCCTGCCTCCTCCCCCGCCGAGGACTTGCTCAAGATGTGGTCGGGGATGATTGCGAACTAAAAGTATTGTGTCGCTTATCACACCCCGAGCAGAACCTTTACGGTCAGTAACTGATGGCCGTTCCCCACCTCACCCCCTCCTCAATAACTTCAAATTTTTTTTTTTTTTTTTTTTTTTGCATGATACTTCTAATGAAAACTGGGGAGAAGAGGGGGATGGGGTAAGGGAGAGAGGAGAGAGGCTTTCTATTTTATTGGCATTTGGTAACAACGGAGCAAACTTACCCCTAAGATGCCAACGCTGCAATTTTCCACCATCTAAACACACAGGGGGTAGATTTTGAAATTCATTTATCGCAGTCAGCAAATATTACCGAGGCGTATTTCAGCTAATAACGACACCAAACCCTCCCAACTCAAACGCTGCCCCAGCCTGCCTAACACCCACGACGCCCCTCCAAGCCCCTCGCAATGCCAGCTATATTTCCCAATCCTTCAGCCTTCAATGGGAGTTAATTCACTCTTTTAAACCTCTTTTTTTTTTTTTTTTTCTCCTTTGCCCTGGGTAGATTTCTGCTGCTTCCCATCGCATCCGTCTGCACAGTTTTCACACGAGAAAGGTGAATTAAAGACGGTTTCACTCGTGCCTGCCTTCAACTCAGGGACAATTTTCAACCTCCACAACATGAAAAAGAGGAAAAAGTTGAAATGTTTCGGTTAGTCTGTCTTGCCACGGCTTTGGTAAAAAAAATACTTGAATTAAAATTGGCGGTGGGAATAGGCAGGGAATTAAGAAAGGCAGAAAGAAAGAGAGAGAGAAAGAAAGGAAACAGAGATAGTAACGGAATAAAACTTTAAAACCATCCTTAGAGAAATAATTTAAGTAAATACGTTTCCTTTATTTTGTGTAGGGATAATTTCAGTCGAATCTAAGAGCCTTTTCAAGTAATTATTGTTGTTGGAGTACTTGCAGTGGTATAATTAAGGCTTTTTCCCCACTAAAAGACAAGTTAACATTTTATTTTTCTCAACACTTTTATTGTCGATTGAGCAGATTTTGGTTTCATCTTTGAACATAAAACCCCAGAAATGGTGCACAGAAGTAAATAGAGCTTTGCAGCCTGGCGTGGGGATGCTCGATGCTAGAATTTTCAAGAAAGGAAAAAAAAAAAAAATTGAATCGACTAAAGAATTTTTAGAAAAGAAGCTGTCTTCTTCTATGTGCATTTAGAGGCGTACTCCCATCTAGTCAAGTTTGTAAAGTAAAAAATAGCAGGAATTCCTGTTCATATGTGGACTCCAAGAAGGCGGGAGTGAAGTTGTTCTTGGAAGTTAACATTTTTATCAAGTGCAGTAGAATTTTATGGTCATGATGTGATGGTAACTCACCAACGCACCAGAAATCAATGTCTGATCTTAAATCATTCATATACTGTACTCAGATTCCTGATGAAAGGAAAATGTTTCTATTATAAGAAAAAACAAGTGGGGATGTGTGTGTGTGTGCGTGTGTCTGTGAGAGAGAAGATAATTTATAAATACCCAGTGGAGGAAAGATTTATTAGGAATTCACAAGGAAAAAAAAAAGAACCCCAAACCCTTTCCTAGGTAAACCTTAACTTTTCACTACTCTGCATTTTACTGAAGGTACAAGGGCAGGGTTTTTCTTTATTTTCTCCATCTATTTCTGTTTACATTTGTATTTCATTTTATAGCGTTTAAACAGAGTCTTAAGATGCTCAAACTTTGCTTTTTAAACCAACATATCGCATCCTGTTCTGCTGTGTCTATCGGTTTAATTTGTTACATTCTTCCCCAGAATGGTGCTTATTGGGGAACGGGCGTATTTTCTGGTGTAATTTCGGAGAAACATTTGTTCAGAAAATACCTGTTTATAACAATTCGAAAGAAAACCTACATTGGAATTCTTGCTACCATTCCTTTCTATGTTATTTGTAGCTGGAACGTCTGGGTAATTTTTGTCTTGTAATTTTGAAGAAACAAAGGCCAAAATAAAAGTGAACTAATGGAGTTAAAAGTTTACATTTTTGCTGCTACTGCATCAGTGGAGTATTACAAAACGTGGTAAGTTAACAGCATTTTGGATCAATTTACTATTCTGTAGCATTTAAAAATATTTCCAAACATATTAAGTGAAGACCTTGGGCAAAGAGCAGTAACGTTACCAAAAGACGGAGCAACTATACCAAAAATGACTGGTTCAACTTCTAAAAGCTTTCACTGGGTTTTTTTTTTCGGCGATGGCTATGAATCTAAACCATGTAAAATAAAGAGCCAAGAAAGCGCAGATCATCCTAACGGCTAAGGTAAAGAGCGAGGGAAAAATGTCCTGATTCTGTGTGCGCCTTTCTCCCCGAAATCTTC